ATATTCTAGTTTTTAGCAACTCCTTGGAGGCACATTTAACTCATTTGGCTGAGATTTTCCACGTTTTAAAAGTTCATCAGTTATACCTCAATGTTTCCAAATGCGAATTTGCTACACCAACTGTTTATTTCTTGGGATTTATTGTCTCGGCGGCGGGAGTGGAAGTTGACCCTCGCAAGGTTACTGCCATCCTCGAGTGGCCAGTTCCAAAGTCCTTATTTGAAGTTCGAAGTTTCCATGGGCTTGCAAATTTCTATAGGCGTTTTATACGGGGATTCAGCATTATAATGGCGCCGATTACAGATTGTTTAAAGCAGAAAATATTTTCCTGGAATGACGATAGGCAGCGCAGTTTCGAATGTATTAAAACAGCCTTGAGTTCGGCTCCCGTGCTTGCGTTGCCGGATTTTGATCGTCCGTTCCAAGTGGACACGGATGCCTCCACGATAGGAATTGGTGCTGTTTTATCACAAGCAGAGAGGCCTATTGAATATTTTAGTGAAAAATTAAGTTCAAGCCGACAAAAATGGAATTTGTACGAGCAAGAATTGTATGCCGTTGTGAGGGCTTTAAAACATTGGGAACATTATTTACTACACCAAGACTTTGTCTTGTGTAGCGATCATAAATCACTACAATTTATCAACAACCAAAAGGTGATCAGCAGAATGCATGCCCGATGGATATTGTTCTTACAAAAATTTACTTTTGTTTTGAAACACAAATCCGGCAAGTCCAATCGTGTAGCAGACGCATTAAGTAGGAGAGCCGCTCTCCTCACACAGCTCCAAACCGAAATTACAGGGCTGGAATGCTTAAAAGACTTGTATGAAGAAGATAAGGATTTCTCAGATATTTGGAAGAAATGCAAGGCTGCTACCCCAACCAAAGACTATTCAATCAGGCAAGGTTATTTATTTAAAGGTAATCTCCTATGTATTCCAGATTCGTCATGGAGGCAGCAGGTTATTCACGAGGCCCATGCTGGAGGTTTAGCCGCTCATCTGGGGAGAGAAAAGACTCTTCAACAACTGCAATCCCGTTTTTTCTGGCCTCGTTTACATCGAGATGTCTTAAAGCTAGTGGAAAGATGTGCAGTTTGTCAAGAATACAAAGGTGTGAGTCAAAATACTGGACTTTATTTGCCGCTGCCTGTGCCGGACTCCATTTGGGAGGACATCAGTTTGGATTTTGTATTGGGTTTACCCAAAACGAGGCATGGAACCGACTCTATTTTAGTCGTGGTTGATCGCTTTTCGAAGATGGCCCACTTCATAGCTTGCAAAAAAACATTTGATGCAGTCAATGTAGCACGATTATTCTTCAAAGAAATTGTTCGTTTACACGGCTTGCCTCGTAGCATCACGTCTGATAGAGATGTGAAATTCATTAGTCATTTTTGGAGGGATCTCTGGAGTAGATTGCGCACTGAAGTTAAGCTCAGTTCCGCTTATCATCCTCAAACGGATGGACAGACGGAAGTAGTTAACCGTACCCTAGCTAATATGTTACGTTGCTTGGTGCAAACTAGACCCAAACAGTGGGATGAGGTACTCGGACAGGCTGAATTTGCTTATAATTCCATGACCAATCGCTCCACGGGCCGCAGTCCATTCAGCGTTGTGTACACCAAGCCTCCGAATCATATTTTGGATATCGCAATTTTGCCCAAGTGCCAAAACTCTTCAGTTGCCCAATTCACAGAGCAGCATAGCTCTATCCTTCAAGAGGTTAAAGCTAAATTGCTGGCTTCAAATGAACGATACAAGCAATCAGCTGATTTACATAAACGAAGGCAGGTTTTTGAACCAGGCGACCTTGTAATGGTCCGTCTCCGTAAAGAAAGATTCCCGGCGGGCCAGTATTCTAAGCTAAGTCCAAGAAAACTTGGACCAGTATCAATCTCTAAGCGCATCAATGATAATGCATACATTGTTGAACTACCTGCCCATATTCACACCTCCTCAACTTTCAATGTAGCAGACATACAGGCTTATCACCCTCCGGATGAAGTCGGTAACATCAACAGTAGTACTGTTAACCTTTCAACAGCAGGGGAGACCTGATGCAGTGCATATACATGGACCGTCCTCAATTAGTATCCGCTAATAGTTTATATTATTTTGTTTTCTTATTACTGCCTTAGCCACTACCGTAACGGCTTTTGTCTTTTAGCTGGTTTAGTGATTTTACACTTTTTAGTTGTTGGGAGCAAACTTAGTAATAGGGAAAAAGGACTCCTATATAGTTTTCTACTGAAAGGATACAAGGCAGAAAAGAAGAATATACTTACCAAAATTTCCCTGAAGCTTGTTGCTTGTTTTATTTTCCCTGTTTCATTGTTTGATCTGCAGGTAGCTGGAGTCCACGGTGCAGGTATCACACCAAGTTGGTATCAGAGCAGCTCTCCTGGAGTAGACAATGGCGGATGGGAACTCACGTACCACTCCTGGCGAAGACCGGAGTTTAGAGGCTCTTTGGAAAGAGCAAACCAGAATGGCGAAGCAATTGGAAGAACTCGATGCAAGCTTCAATCGTTTCGCCATGGAGGTCCGACTAGGATTGCAAGCCAATCAGATTCGAGGTCCAGCGAATCCCGTTGCACGACGAGCAGTTCATGCTCCAGGGCAGCCAATGCGGGAAAACCCAATTGGATTGGGGCGAGGCAGGCGGAGAGCTGAACAGTTCGCAGAATCAGGAGGATCGGAGGATGAAATCGAAGCTCTGCATCAATTTGAGAACTCCGATTCAGATAATGAAGCAGCTCCGTTGCCAGATTATAGGAGACAAACTTTCGGTTACCAGCAAAGACCGATTGGTGAGTTTCGAATTAAACTTGATATCCCTTTTTTTTACGGACGTTTGCATATTGAGGATTTCCTTGATTGGGAGAGAGCCGTCGAAGCTTTTTTTGAATACATGGAGATCCCAGTGGAGAAGCAAGTGAAATACGTTGCCTGCCGTTTGAAAGGGGGAGCTAGTGCTTGGTGGCAACAATTGTTACAGATCCGTCGGCGAGAAGGAAAAGGGACAGTTCGCAGTTGGTTCCGCATGAAGCAGCTACTTCGGAGCCATTACCTTCCGACTGATTTTGAACAGATGCTATACATACAGTATCAACATTGTGTCCAGGGCAATCGCAATGTTACAGATTATACGGAGGAGTTTTATCGATTAAGTGCACGGAATAATCTTAATGAGTCGGAAAACCAATTGGTGGCCAGATATATAGGGGGGTTGAAGGACAATTTGCAAGATAAATTAGAATTGAATTCTGTTTGGTCTTTATCCAACTCTCTTTTATTTATATATATACTAAATCTTCATACAAAGCTAATATATAAAACACTTCCTTCTTTTTCACCACACAACAAGGATATTAATCTCAAATAATTATAAATTTTAGTTAGGATTGATAATACATTTTATTAATTAAAATCATCAATAAATAAATAAGATATATACAATTAAATCTTAATAATTAATAATACATTTCATTAAATTTTATTTATTAATTTATCTTAATTATTAATTTAAATTTAATAACTAAATTTAATAAATTAGCTTAATAAAATTAATAATTAAGTATTTAATTACAATTTAATTCATTTAATTAAGGTAAGTACAAACAAAGTTAATATAAAAAGTTGTTCCAATCATATAAAATTTTAAATATTGAAGTAAGTAGTCAAACAGTTTATCTTAGCTTAGTGGAATTTAACAGCTATAATATTTGATAAAGCTCTAAAAAAATTTACTTAATTGACATGAATGTTGACGTATTATCAATGTTGGGGACTACTAATACAAAAATTAGGGTCATCCATTCTTCAATTTTAGCAAACTTAAAGTTAAAATGATCATATTGATAAAACAAGTCACGTAGATCTTGAGGATATTATGTAAGTTATCATGTCATATATATGATATTAATTAGTACATCATATCACCATAACTTATAGTGTTTCATATAAGCCTAATAGCTTAATAATTCTATACACATATACCAAATATTATGTTATATCTTATCAAATTCATACCAGTATCAATATTACATTACAATACATATCAATTATTTCAATGCATATTACATTTATGTATTATCATATCACATCATAGTACATCACTTTCAACCCATTTTCAGTATACATTTTTCCTACTCATTTCACATAGAAATTTCTATACACATATTTAATTGATAAAAATGAACTAAAATCACATCAAATTATTCAAAATGATCAAATCTATAACATATCAAAAATTTACATGATGAAAAACTTACAAAATCAAGAGATGATACAGTCTTGACATATTTAAAATAAATACAATTTGTAGAAATTAAAACTATAAAAAAAGAGTAAAAGTTTAATCATTTACTTTAAATAGAACAAAATTTGTAATAGAAACAGACAAAAATGACTCAAACCAGTCTCTCTCATTTCTCTCTCATCTTATTCTCCCTTATCTTCTCCTTTTTCTTTCTTCCTAGCCAAACAAATGCTTAAGAGTGAGGGAGGGAATGAATGGAAGAGATATGTTTATTAAGAATATATAAAATACCATTTTAATGCCTGACGCAACGGTACTTCAATCCAGCACTGCTACACTATATGTTTAATCTATAATTAATGTAGAGCAGAGCCTTTAATGTCGCGACGACAATGTGTATAACAGGCGGTCAATGACAACGGATGCGGGGCGCGGTGGCAGTGGGGGCTGCTGGTGGGCAACAACAATGACAATAAATTTATAATGTATTTGAAAACCATCAAAATATGGGGAATTTTAAATAAGCAAAAAATAAACTACACGGTGAATTCCAAATGTACTAAATTTTACACTGCATTTATTTAACTTCAAACCAAACACGAATATTTTTAAAACCTTTACATTTAGAATATTTTACTTCAAACTAAACAATCCTATTAAAAGTTATTTAAAATTCTTATATTTACCTTCCCCTTACTAACTCCCTTATGCGGTACTATAGTTACATCCTACTTCAGGCAAACAGCCCCATCGGAGTCGGCCTTTGCTTGTAGTATTTAGCATTCCTAGCCGCTCGTTTATTCCCGCTAGAGTGGTCTCTCTACCTCTCTACAGGAAACCACTGAGAGAGAAAGCTTCCACGTTATCGTCGTCTCTCTCCTTCACAAGCAAGAACAAATGCTTCTGCTTGCTGCTATCAAACCGATTCGTGCTCGCCTCCCACCTCAGCGAATGGTTTTATAGGGTTTCTCTATTTTTTTCTGACTTCCTGTCCCGAGGTCTGGCAAGCGGCAATGGCAGCTGCTGCTTGCTCTTCAACGTGTGTTCCTGGCGGCGAGCTCTTTGTTCGCCCTCAGGCCCTTCACAAGGAGACGCGCTCCCCGAAGCTCTGCGGTGGAGGTGAGCCATCTTCTTCTGTTAGTAATCGAACACTGCTGATTCTGCTTGTTGGCGTCTTTAAATCCTGTAAATCCAGATTCCGTAAATCTTGAGAGGATTAAAAGCTGAAAACTGTTTGGCATGAGACTATTAAATCTTGCTAAATCTTGACACGCCGTTTGGCTATTTGATACAAGATAAGATTTGTGTGAGAGAAAAATACGATTTGGATGAACGCTTTTTAAATTGACATAGTTCTGATACGTTATTATTTTGAATGGGGAAAATTTATTAGAAGATAATGCTCTTATGATTGATGGAATAAATGTTAAGTACATGATATGGTATTTTTGATGAATTTGAAAATTGTAATTATAATATAACTTTTTTTGGAAGATCAATTGATACCTAGGTGTGAATCTGTTCTTTTTTAGAGTGTGGATATGAATGGTGATGTGACTTATGGAAATAAATTTGGATGGTCAATATGTTGATTTGTCTCGTGAGAATTATTTGGTAAGGGAATATCATTGATTCAAATTTTATATAAGAATAATAAAATTGTCAATGCCAATGCTATTTGAATTTGAGTTTTTGGTAGCAAATAAGTGACATAAAACTAATTGAATGCAACAAAAAATAGAATGCTAAGTTGGACATGTCACACTAGGAATGATGGATTGATAGGAAATTATATTAGAGAGTGGATGCAGTATTTTCTGAATATATGATAGTGAAAAATAGATTTAGGTGATTTTTGTTAGCATAGAACAACTTTACTTTATCATGTACCAACTATTATTACTATTTTACCTATTCTGTCTATTTAAGGAATCCTGTACGCACCTTTACATTTAAATAATAATTCCATATTTTCCTTCTTCTTCTTCTTCAGTCTATCTGTTCTCTGCTCCGGTTCCTGATTTACTTTCATGGTATCAAGAGCCACAAGATGGGGGATCAAGATTTAGCTTCTTCTCTCCCTCCCTCCTCCACCTCTCTCACCGGAACCCCCAACCCCTAGCCTTTCATTCCGGTTTCACTGAAGTTCCTCATCACAAACATCAAGAATCTTCTTCCCCACCCTCTCACCACCGACAATTACGCCATATGGAGAACTCAAATCCTCCAACAATTCACGGCTACCGGTTACGTTGGACATCTCACCGGTGACGTCCCTCAACCCACTGCCGACAACCCGTGCGCTCACACAGCATGGAAATCCGTTGATAGCACGCTGATCTCGGCTCTGTTCTCCACAATATCACCTTCCATCTTACCTTACGTCATCACCGCCTTCTCGGCCTCAGACGTTTGGGCGATTCTTGAACGCCGATTACAATCCTCGCGTCGTTCTCGAGTTCTTCAACTCAAGAACGAACTACACCATCTCCAAATGAAAAACCTCTCAATGCAGCAATATCTATCACAAGTCAAGACTATCGTCGACAACATCGCCGCATCCGGCTCCAAAGTCGATCCTGAAGACATCATTCTCTATACCCTCAACGGACTTCCAGCCGTCTACAACTCTTTCAAAACATACATCCGCAACTCACCAATTCCGGCAGATCTTGACTCACTTTATTCGCTCCTTTGTAGCGAAGAAATTTACATCAATCAAGAACTCCAAACAGATCAACAACAATTCGCAACCCTTTCACGATCCCACTCTCTATCGACGTGTCGCGGGCTCGCTTCAATATCTGTCAATAACTCGTCCTGACATTGCGTTTGCTACTAATCGCATTTGTCAGCACATGAAAACTCCAATAGACCATGACTACCTAGCACTAACCAGGCTGCTTCGCTACATTAAAGGAACACTCAATTTCGGTCTTCCCTTAATCACCGGAGACTTGCATCTACACACCTACACCGACGCCGACTGGGCCTCCGACCACTCGGATCGCAAATCCGTTTCCGGTTTCTGTACCTTCTTGGGACCAAATCTAATCTCCTGGTCCGTCAAGAAACAGATCACTGTCGCCAAATCCTCCACTGAAGCCGAATACCGATCGCTGTCAGCTGCCACTTCGGACGTCATATGGCTGTGACGTCTTGCAGCTGAACTGCACCTACCGCAAAGCCTCGCAACTCCGATCTACTGTGATAATCAATCGGCTATCGCCATTGCCAAGAATCCGGTCTTTCACGCCAGGACAAAGCATATTGAAATCGACTATCATTTCATCCGT